CCCCCCCCCCCCCACCACACTGATCCGGATCCGGGTGGACTGGGGTGAGTCAACCGGCCGGTTACCGGACCAGCCCTGCTTCTCGAACAACAGCCCGTTTGTGGTGTGGTAGTCTGGCTCAGACTCTGGAGACTCCTTGACTCTTTTGAGAAGGTCACTATAAATAGGGTCCTGTGCATGGGCTTCTTTAACTTTCTGCTGCAGGTCTCGCCCTGTATCCAGATAGTGAACTATCACTCCAAAGTAATCAGCTCTCCTACTTAGAGCGTCCGCGACTACATTGTACTTCCCTTTGACTGGCTTGAGCTCGAAGTCAAATTGGTCTATTTCTGTGGCCCACCTAGTCAGCTTAGGTGTCATCTTGGCCTGCGTCTTCAGCCACCTCAACGTCTTGTGGTCTGAATACACTTTGAAGTGCCTCCCAAGCAAGTGGTGCTTCCAGTGGTCTAGTGCTTGCGTGAGAGCGTAGAGTTCCCTCTCACAGGTGGATGTCGCTACCTTCTCTGAAGGCATCCTAGCAGACATGAACTCTACGGGTCTATACCCATTTCCATCATCTTGCTGTAAGACAGAACCTATGCCATACTGACTTGCGTCAGTGGTGACAACAAAAGGTAATGATGGATCGGCTACCTTGAGGACTGGATACTCTATCAAGGCCCGCTTCAACTTCTTCAGGGCCAACATACAATCTCTATCCCACTCCCAGATTGCTTCTTTCTTTAACAACCTGCGAAGGGGTGCAGCGATGTTAGAAAAGTATCTGACGAACTTTTTATAGTAATTGGCTAAACCTAGAAACGACCGCAACTCTGTCAATCTGCGGGGTGTCGACCAATCTCTAATCGCTGCTATCTTACTGTCCTGAGGCTTTAAGCCATCTCCATCTAAGACGTGGCCCAAGTACAGGACTTGTGTCTTGGCCGACTCGGACTTCTTTGCGTTGATCTTGAAGTTAGCTTCTCTCAGCTTCTCCAAGGCTTGCCTCAGATGGCCCTCAGGCTCCTGGAGGGTCTTACTAAACACTAGAATATCATCTAGGTAAACTACTACGAATCTATCTAGCCATGGCCTAAACAGATCGTTCAAACAGCGTTGGAATGTAGCTGGCGCATTAGTTAGTCCAAAGGGCATTACTATAAACTGCCCATATATAGTTCTGAATCCTGTCTTGTACTGATCATTAGGGTGGACTTCTATCTGATGATAGCCTGACTGGGACTGGGTACCGCTGACTAAGCGAAGTTGGACTCACCACTTGCCCAATTGCCTCTGGTCTGCTGTGAGTAACGCGAGAAAAGCTCGAAAGGCCACTTCCGGACCATCCGGAAGTCTGTGGACTTTGAAACGGTATTCACCTGTTAGCAGTAGCAAATGCATATCCCAGGGCTGGATCCCTAGTTCTTACCTTACATGTGTACAGTATCTGTGTCGACCCCGAGAGTTGAACCCGTGACCTGTGTATTCGCAACAGTTGGTAGGCTGTCGTAGGTCCGTAGGTGGTAGGGGTTCAATCTGTAGACCTGTAGGATAGAGGTCTTAGTGAGTTCTAGAAGTCGTAGCTGTAGCTCTTCTGAAGGGTCAAGGTTGTAGCTGCTACAGTCCTGAAAGGTCAAGGTCGTAGCTGCTCCAGTGTTCGAAAGGCCAACCAAGCCCACAGACTTCCGGAAGGTCCGGAAGTGGCCTTTCGAAGTTGTCTCACGTTTGGACAGAGGCAAGTGGGCAAGTGTTGAGCCCAACTGCGTTATGCCGGCAGTGCGACTGCATCGAGTTGGCAGTGCAAACCCATGCAGTCAGCGGTACCGGTCCCAGGCAGTCACAGTCCAGTCAAGCAAGTACCGCGTGGGACTGTGTGCACCCAGGGCATGGGAAAGGGGCAGACCACCGAGTTATAGAAGTATATATCAAGAGGCAGCGCCCAGCCATTCATTGATTCCTGCGTAAGCCATGTGGAAGCGCTGCTTGAGCGACTTGTGTGAGGTGGTCTGCAGCGTGCCCGAAGACGAAGTGGGCTGGAAGAGATAGTTAGCCATAGCTAGTTAGGGACAGCGGCCATAGCCGCCATAGCTGATAGGCGAGTGAGTGTGTACGAGGGTATGTGTATGTGTGTGGGATATCCAGGGTGATCCGGAGTTGAGTAAGTGTGAACAGTGGTGTTGAACAGAGAGACGAGAGTTGGGGTGTACAGGCGCTGATGCGCCATAGCCTGTTGAAGCGAGCTTGTATCTGAACTGTGTTTTTGACTCCCATATCTCTGAGCTTTGAGTGGGCGCTGTGCGCCAGTGTGTCCCACCATCTGTTTGCATGAGTGCAGAGTGGAAAAGAAAGCGAGTCTGATTGCACTTGGCCTTTCGGGACTTTAGCAGCTACGACCTTGACCTTTCAAAATTGCGACAGGTACGGCCTCTACACAACTATGAACCCTAGTCAACAGATCTACAGATCGCTACACAGACCTACGACAGGCAACAGTCAACTACCAAAACACAGGTCACGGGTTCAAACACACAGGGGTCGACTCGATACTGTACACAGGTGTGGTAAGGTCTAGGAATCGAGCCCTGGGATCTGCATCTGCTACTGCTAAGGTGAAAACCTGTGCCAGCGCCAGCACGACGTTTTTCGTCTTCTTTTGGCTTTGCAACTTTAGCCTACCGGCCTCAACGTCAGTGGTGGCTTAAGGTCTTGGATCATTGGGATTGACTTCAAAGGTATTCTTCAGGTGGTGTTTGTTGTGGAAGAGTAGTAGAAAGGCTCCAATTTTTCTGCATGACACATACCAGTTACGATGTACTTTTTTTGTGTTTTGAAACTTTTGATGATTTGATCCTTTCTGAAGGGTTGCCACGTTGTTGGTTCATCGCAGGTGTGCTGAGCTGTTGTGTTGGTTTTGGACTGTTGTGTCGAATGGCTGTGTTGTTCTACAGCGATACCATGAGAAGAGCAAGCAGAGGCTGGATGCAGCCATTCTTTCTTTTTTCCAAAATTTCAGAAAAGCTTATGTAGGAGAGCAAGCCATGCATTCTTCAAAGGTATGCAGGAAAGCAAGGCGTCTGCTGTTTTTTTTTTTTCCCCCTGGTCTGTTTGGCGGTTGAGTGATGCACGGCATGAGGAATCGAACCCACGTCCTCCTCCTGAATGCCACTTTTGTGCGCTACCAACTGAGCCAGGCTGCTGTTTCTTTGCGGGTCTGTTTGGTGGTTGAGTGATGTATGGTCTTCAGCAACAGTTGTGGGACTCTGCAACAGTAAATGTTTTCCATCTATCTGCAGGGCGCTTGGTGTGCCTCCCAAGTTGGAGGAGAACAGCATGCTGCGCTGGGAATGTTTTCAACTACCGTCTTCACCCGAACAGAACGCCCGGTCATTATAGCTGTATTTGATGCAACTTTCAGTCGAGATACGGCCACAATGACCGGGCGTTCTATTCGGGTGAAAATGGTAGGGAAGAGGGGGCGTACTGATTCATCTTATGGGACTTGCTGTTAAGGAGGCAAACAAACAGCAGGAAAAAGAGACAGGACTCTCGCTTGTACTTTCTTCCCCTTCCGCAGACTCATGTCTTGCTCCTTTTTGTCGAAGTCACCATCCGAGCTACCTCGGGAATTGGATGCTAAATTAGTGCTCTTCCTCCTCCAACTGTCGCTTTCACTGGGACTTGCACTGGACTTTGCCCTGAGGGCCACCGCAAAGTTTAAAGCCAAATTTAAGTGGAAAAAAAAGAAACCTTCCATGGGAGTTATAAGCGAACTTTTGGGGGGTTATACCACCACTCCCTCAGCGCCTCCTTTTTTTTTCCCCCTAACCTGTATTTCTGCTGCGCGCCAAAGTTAAATGAACCAGCCCGGGTGTGAAATATTTTCTGTTTATCTGGTGGCGTCAGCCTTTTCCTTCCAGTAGGCGGAGCCCCTGTTAATGGGGACCGCTAACTGCTGCGTAAGAAAGAATAGCTCGGAAAGGGATCGGTGGTTTATGGGTTTTAACCATCAGCGCTCGAACTTGAATATTAACTCTGACGAGTTATGTATTCGAGGGAGAAAAAATGGTAGGTAATAGTCTAATAGAAGAGGCGGTCCCTGCCCAAGCAGGCAAGCTCAGTTGGTTGAGCATTTAACTGGCACTCAGGAGGTCGATACCCAACGTCATCCTTTTGATCTCCGCGGCCTCCTGGGGGTATGCTTCACATTCACCAGTGGAGGTTGTTGGCTTGGGCCACCTGGCTGGTTCCGGAAGGGATTGGCCTTTCCAGCCTGCGCCGGGTGTTAGGAGCTTGGGTGCTGCTCCCCACACAGAGCAGAGATAGGTAGGTCCAGACCCATAACCCTTAGGATAGCTTAGTTCTGGTTATGAGCTTTAAGATCCTACCTCCCATTACTCCATCGCCACGGAGGTTTTCCTCACCCTCAGCTCCTCCTTCACCACCCAAGTGCTCCGCATCTCTGCCTCCTCCGTGGAGAGCAGCGCATGACTGCCGGGTGAATGTGTCGACTAATTGCACCGAATGATATACTCTTTGCTGCCAGGCCTCCAGTGCCTCTCGGCCGGGCACTTCGTACCTAGACTTGGCCTCTTGGGTGCACTAGCCCTACTGGGTGCTGCTGCTTTTGATGGGAACATCATTGCAGACTGCTTCGGACTGGAATATACCTCGCAGATGTCCACATTTGGCCCCTGGGCTGTCATGACCTAGGAGGGCCTAACAAAATTTTGCCCATATCCCTGATTGACCCAGTGAGAAACCCTAATATGTTGCCAACTTGTCACCCACCACTAGATTTCAGCCGTCCCTAAGCCTAGGCTTATTTTCTATCCTACCCCTGTCTGAGGCACATACACGTATCACAGCCCAACGGAAAGAGCAGAGAGACCCGGACTTGGACTCGACCCTTTGTCGGGCAAGCGCACGCCGCATGGCATACATACATCGTCGCCAGGACACACACACAGTCGGAAAACATAGCAAACGGACTCAGCTTCGATGTTACAAGAGTGGCCGGGATTGCCCGGTTGTGCCGTCTTTTTTTTTATCCATTTGGCAAAGAATTTCGATGTGACCGTGAGGCAAAAGTTGTGCCGTTTATTTTTCTGCACAACATATTTTTCTCAGTTTTTTTTTTGGGTTTCCCCGAACAGGGACCTTCCCTGGCCCTAGCCCGGCGGGGCCACGTGGGCAACCAGGGTGAGCCGGGAAGCCCGGTTGGTGACACAGCTCATATTCCGAAATCTCAGCAGTCAGATAAAATGGCGACGTGTTCGCAGAAAAAGAATGCAGAACTCTTCAGACCGTGATCGTGCGGGTACTTGCATGTTTCATTGTTTATGAAAGCTCTCTTTTTTTTTTGCCTTGTTGATTGTGGAGGTTTGGCTGCTGGACTACCACAAGCGTTGAGCGTTGCAAATTCCCTGACTCTTCTTCTTTGTCTTGTGCAGCAACTGTATGCTCGGTTGACGGAGCTTGTGGGCTTGCAAGACCACCTGATGGTATTGAATGTCACGGTGGGCAAGATCGCTACAAATTTGAAGTGCTATACTCAGGTAAGTAAGGTGATTTCTCCCTGCTCACACTGTGTGGGAGCATCCCCGATGCATAAGCGATGACCCCTCTCTTGGAAGACCCTTGCTTTCATCATTGATGGGTACACGCCAGGCAGTCTCATTGGTTGATGGAAACAACAAAATCCTTCCCCTGTTGTTCTATTGTTTGTTGCTTGTAATATCACCACCTTGACCTTGTCCTGTCTGATAGACCATAATAAGGGGCACAGATTCTGAGCTAATCGGAACATAGTCAACAGAGAGTATACCTCCTGCAGACGGGGGTGCACATGGCCTTACTAATTGAGTATTTATTCCCTTGCGGAGCATGCTATGTCGCTCTTCGTTTCTTGTTCCCCCACCCCCTTCTCCCCCCACTTTTCCCCTTGTCCCTCTGTATCATCACTTAAAACTAATATTGGAGTCATGATGATTGTACTATGATTTACCTGGGAGCATCTGCTTGTTTGGTCGCTTCCCGTCTTGCGTTTGTTCTATTGATCTGTTAAACTGTGCTTGCATCAGATGTGTGATCATTCCATACCAGACCCGGCCATGGAATCTGCAAAGGGTGGAGAAAAATTATGGTAAGGATCGCCTCTATGCCTGCATGTTGTTCCATTTGGTTCCGGGCTGGATGGAGGCCATGTTGTCCTGGTTTGCACCTGTGTGTTCTCCGGGCTTGCCTCTCTCCTAAATGATATCTACTAGGCTTCCCCCCCCCAAAAAAAAAAAAAACCTTTACTACTTTAGTAGGCCTACCAAAAAAGAAAAAAGAGAAAAAAGAAGATATATCCTACCCAGCCTTTCTTCCTTGATCCCTGTGCATCTGTCTAGTCCTTTGGTGTCTACTGTCGTTCCTGGATTCCTGGATGATGCAAATGCATAATGCTTGTCTACGGATCTACGGATCTGCGCCTCTAATCCGGTGTGTACCTCTGTGCAATGGAGATTTTTCAGAGGAAGGGAAAAGTATCAGCATTTTCACCAGGTATGGATATCTACTATCTATCCTCTGCGCAGGCAAAATGTTTTTTCGATCTCTGTGTCTACCTTGTAGGACGATTATGTGACGAGTTTTCAATCGCTTGACCAGATGTTACTTCGCCGGTGTTTTGCCCCATCTTTTTTGCGCATGCTTAAGAGTCAATTCTCTTCGCCCCTACCGTATTCACCCGAATAGAACGGCCTGTAATTATGGCCGTATCTGGACGGCCAGATGGACCAAGTACAGCCATAATGACCAGGCGTTCTATTCTGGTGAACATGGTCGGGCACTGCTCATATATACATACAAATTGCCGAGGAAGAATGATGGGACCGCAGTGATGATGGGTACTTCAAGTCACTCCCCC